CACACTTGACTCTACCACACTTGACTCTACGACACTTGACTCTACGACACTTGACTTTACCACACTTGACTCTACGACACTCTCTTTAGACTCTCTATAGACTCTCTATAGCCGACACTCATGGCCCCAAAACTCATGGCTAATGATGCTTTCGGGCCACTCGTCTTCTTGTTCTTCTTTCTCTCTTTCGCTCTCTGTCGTTCTTTCTTTCTTTATTTCGTTTTTCTATTTCTGTCTGTTCTGCAAAGAAAAACAAACAAAGTTGGACACAACACTGACAACAACTGAAAAATAACAAACACGATACCCCACCCCTGTAGCTGCCCACTCTCGCGGGGCTGATTTTATGATGCTGTGCCGGAACGGTACGCATTCGGTTTTCTCGACTCACTTGACTCGCCTAGCACCTGTTACCCAGACTGGTGGGGCACAACGGAGCTTGGCCGAAACGATGCTTTCTCACACAAGCACCTTCTTCGAGGCCTGGCCAGGAACTCTGTTCATAGTCGCATAGCAGTACCACATCCATACACCCCACGTTGAAGGCCTATTGGTGGACAGTACCACGGGGCCAGACCAGGCAGGGAGCTCAATTCCTCACGAAACAAGTATGCGATCACTGAAGCCGGCCAACGACACAGCTGCCGCAGCAGACTTCCATTGCAGATACAATCTCCTGTGAATTCCATGGCGGTTGCGCCGCGGCGATGGTGATCCAGATCCACGCAAGGCTGCACCTCCGTTAAAGTCCAAGCGGCCGAGCTACATTACGGCAGAAACATGGAGCATGCGACCAGTCTACATCAGATTTAGGATCCAGGCCTCAACGACAGTGGGATCGGAACAACCATCCAAAACTGCACCCGGCATGAAGGCCGCTATGTGAAGTGCTGGAGCTAAGCATGTAAGTCCCGGATTCTCTCAGCATGTGCTTCGCCTGGCATATATGCTGGATGCGTGCTGGCGGAAGCCACAACAACGGACGTAAAACTATGCAATACTGTCTTTCTCTAGTCAGCACATGATACGCCTAAACATCCAAGCACTGCCAGCTAGGCCGCACTGCACCGTCGCCATCACTGCCGACAGTCCACATGTCTGTTGTCGACTCCAGTTCTCCGACGGCTCTTGCATGCTATGCAATGAACCCAGAGAGAACCATCACGTTATCGTGACCTTGCGCTGAGTACTTTCCCGTTCTTGTTACGTCGGTCCATTCAGCTTGGCATGCAAGAGGGAAACTATGTACAAACTGCAATCCTGACTCCTTTAGTCAGATCGCATGAGTCGCAGGAGCTGCACTCCATATTTCGACAATACTCCTTGCACGCCATCTTGTACTTTGGGTGATGCATCATCGCTGAAACCTCCAAGGCAAGCAGCCCGCCAAATCGGAAGACTTCCCCTCCCTGTGCAGTTGCAATCACGGCCAAAAAAGCCAGGAGAACATGCGGACTTTCTCCGACACGCCACCCTTGATGCCTCGAACCTGACACATCTCCCATGCAAATCCGCGAATTCCATGCATTTCAGAGCTGCTTTGATGATTGGATATTGAAGCCACACTAAGGTGCAGGCGCTGGCTGACATGTCCCAAGCCTCGCTGTCCTATACCACGAGTCAGCAGCAAGGACTCTACCTGCATTTCTGCGTCCAACGCACAACAAACGATGAGGCTGTGATGTCCTTCGGCACATTCTCAAAGACCACCTTCGGCGGAATAATTTGCATGAGAGGGTCTTGCCCAGAAAGACCAGTGTATGAATGTGAAGCAATGTGTCGGGGCAAGCTCATGATTGCGGGAGGAGTATTCGGAGTTCGAATTGCGAAATATCTACTGAACCTAGTACTTTGCGGGATTTTTCTTCTCACTCCGAGGGTTCATCCGACTGCCTTCCAGAAACCTGGTAATCGACATCGCGCTTGGTTCACAATCTCCGTTTTCCATCTTCCGAAAATTTCCGTTCAGCTGTGAAGTACTGCACAGTACCCGCACGAAGTCGCATCAGCCCAAGAAACATCCAATTGGTGCATCGTCCCGACAGAGATCCTAAGTCGCAGCCTGCGTCTAAAATAGCACCGACACGACAATAAGATAAACTCTTTGGCACTATGCCCAAAGCCAAGTCGCCCATGCTTCCAAAATGGGTTACAGGTGCCGTGTGCCTGCCATGCGACCTCCTGGGTAAACGGCTAGATTTGCCATCAATATCTCAACTTGCATAGTACACTCTTGTCCTCGAATCCGTGACCTATGGACTCGGCAAGCTGATAGTGTCCAACGATGCAATTCAGCTGCATGGTTAGACAATGAAATGCCATCAGAAATCAGCAACGTGGCTCATGAAACCATCTACCAATGTGCAATGCAGTCTACCCGAGGAGAAGTCACAGCTGCATCCCACAAAAGAACAACGCATACCTGCCACAGCCTTTTACAGGACTCTGGCCTCCGTTTGTCTGGTGTGAATGGAAGCTGCCGCTGTCCCCTCTCCCAACTGTCCTGTGCTCGTGACCAATGGGGGCTTACAACGAAGCTGCGATCCTCGCCTGCAGCCGAACTCCCGGCTTCTGGGCTGACCTGTCCAGCAGCAAGTAGCTGCAGGAATGGTGCGTGTTCTCTGTATGGCTCTGAGCTACACAGTACAGTACAGTACAGTATGCGCTTAGTATGCGTTTTCAGGTCAGAACCCAGTGATTCTTTGTATACATAGATTTCTACGGATTCTACAGTCTGCAGAGGAGGCTTCCGGAGCAGCCCGGCCTTGGAGGGGGGGGAGAGTGCGGTGAAACTCTGTATCGACTCTTCCCAGTCTTCCGTGCACCTCCAACCTCCTCAAACTCACACAGAGCAAGGACGGCTGCCTCGGTCTCCTGTGTAAAGGTTTGACCTAGCAATGCAAAAACGCAAAAACAAATGCCTGGCTGCGAGGTAACATTCTTCGTAGAACTGGTCACCCACCTTCCGGGCCATCGGGGCTCTGTGGAGGCACATTTGGCCAAAAGTAGTAAACCAATCCCAGCACCTCTGGCACAATCGCAGACGAGGCAGTGCAAGCAGAAAGCAAAGGTTCCCGGCGAGTACGAGACCAGTGCCAAGTTTGAGCACCTGCGCTCTCTCCTGTACAGGATGAGCCCAGGGAGCGCGTCAAGTCCGAATTCTTGCTTGCTGACGTCGGCAATTGGTGGAGTTCAACGAAAATCCAACAGTTTGGATCGTCGGTCCAAACCTAAATCAATCTCACTGGGGCTGATGGATTGGGACCCAAGACTTCCAGTCAAAGTCGCCACCAACCTCCCGCCAAGTCTTCGACACAACAGGCTGCCGTCGATTCTCAAAACATGTCGAAGCTTCGGATCTGAACCTCGTAACCGATTGGGGCATGCATCGACATTCTTAGGGCTGTAATGAAACGAAAAAATGACATTCGCTGCAAGGTCGAACACGAAGTAACTCTGCTCGAGAAGCACTGGCGCATGGCCTCCGAAATTCGCGAAAGGTAGTAGCTGGCACCTGGAGGACTGTCAAAACATGCACTCAGGGAGCTTGTTGACATCCGGCGTGGACATCGCCTGCTTCCCGTTCTTGATGCCGAATTGACTCTTTGGCCTTAGTCTTGGAACTATCGGATCACTCAAGATTGGTGCCTGCAGCGCCTCTGGCGTAGTTTGCGGCTCTTCGCCTCCTTATAGAACAACTTGGCAATTCTTGACAAAATGCAACACGCCCTTGCTGAGTGACTCGACTGCCTGCACTCGCTTTGGGCGAAGAGGCTTCGCCAGGTTTAGTCCCTCGCGGCTCACAAGCATGCCCAGCAAGGCCCTCACAAGGCCTTCTTGAAGTCAACAGTCGCGGAATTCAGACACGCCTCCAAGCGCAGATTCGAGATCTTCCGCAGCTGGCTCTTGCGAGGTTTCCCTGGGCACGCGTGTTGTCGGAGACTCAATCTCCGTATCCCCGCACCCTGTCAGCTTGGACACTCCCGGGAAGTACGAACAGGAGGGTCTAGTTACCCGAGACAGTTTCCAAAGGTGAACTCGGACTCTTGACTGCGGCACACCTCGAAGGGCTCGCAGCGGCTTGCACCTGCCAGTGCTTCCCATCTACACTTCGTGAACGGTGCTGAGCCATTGACCTCTCGCAGCTTCAGCGCGGCAAGCCTGCAGAGCATAAGAAAACAAGCGCAAGCTTGCCGATGCGAATCCCCGCACTGCCCTGCACCGGGATCGATGCCCGCACAAGCACAGTGCGGCGCTCACGGCCAGCTTGGTGTAGCCTTCGCGCTGCCGACAACCATGCATGCCCGAATCCCCACATATACGGCTAATCATCTAAAGAGTCTACAGAGGCTCGAAAATGCCTATGCAGGATGTTACAACAGCGCAGCACGAAAGCTCCCAGGGCCAAGGACAGTAGTTGGCGTCTCTTGTCTGAACCCTTTGTGTCCAGCAGTTGCTACCAAGCTATTCAGCCTGGTCTATCTCAGGCTGCGTCGTCCTGTGTCTTCAGCTCCTTCGCTGTGCCGCCTTTCCTGAACGCAGCACCAAAACCAGCATGAGCGAGGTTCGCGAAATCCGATTGTGATGGTGAAGGTTCCAGGGCTCGTGCTGACTGACTGGTGGCCACTGCCGCCATGATTCCACCGTGTGGAGTCTGGCAGAATCGCATACGAAAAAAAATAAGCATCCAACATGTATTGGTATGTATATCATACCTAGATCGAGGTCAAGTTGAAGATCAAGGTCAATATTCAAGATCAAGGCACGATAGCAATATCAATGACGTCATACATTTGCAAAAAGTTATACCAATTCGATATTGATCGCGCCGAGTTGGACTTGGAAGAAACCCTACTCGGTGGGCCGACAGGATGGGGCAGGGGAATACTGGGGGCGTCAGTCTACGCAGATGGCCTGAAGGATACCGTCCTTCGAAGCTCCTCCATGCTCTCTGCACAAGTCCAGCAAACTCAAAAACAGAAAAGTCTCAGTCCGGGGCCGAGTTGTTGCAGTTCTCGCAGCTCCAAGCGCAAATCCCTCGCCAGTGCCTTCCACAATCCATAACTCTCTCCGGAGCCCGAGCGAGACTGCAGACCACAAGCTTGCGCCTGCCGAGCCGAATCCAGGGTAACGTCGGATCCAAAAACAACCGTCCTAAGTTTCTGAAGGCTTCCGACACCCGCTGAGATCCCTGGCCATGCTTAGGCTGCTCAATGCTTGGGCCAACTGCTCGTGTCTTTTTGTCCGACGCTGCTGGCCCATCTTCACGGATAGTTGCACAACGCATCCCATACAACGGGAGGGATAACTTGCCTGATGCACCATGCAGGTCAACTCGCCCAATCGTTGCACAAAGCCCCCACTCTTCACCATCCAAGCTGCGCTCTCATCCGGTTCAGACCACGGTAGGGAAGCGTTTCAGAAAACCGAGCTTCGGATCTGAACAACACCGGCACCTTTTAGCTTTTTGGCGGCAGCAGAAGCTATCTCTGTCTCACCTTGTCTTTGCCCAGCACAAGAAGTCCAGAGGTGTTGCGAGATCGCAGCAACAGTTCAAGCTGTCGGACCGACATATATTCCTTGAGGATCCAGCAGAATCTTGGCTTGGAAACAGCCGGAACGGTCGAGCGAGGAGCTGCAGGGTGCTTCAATCCAGCGTATCGAGACAAGTACTAGCAGAGGCGTCGTGTGATGTTGTTGCTTGAAGCCCAAGCTGTTTTTTCCAGGCTGGCATCGGCAATGACGAATACGATGAATCTGATTCTGCAGGCTCGCTTGATTGTAGGATCTCGGCCATTTGGGCCATTTTTTGCTCTAGAGGCAGTTCAGGATCAATACTGTAGAACGCTGCCAACTTACTAGGATCAGCTGTGAGGTTCTGAAAAGCTTGAGACCCTGAAGCTGATTGAGCTTGTCGATGACTCATCATGGACTTGTAACTTTCCGCGGCATCCGCATCGAAAATCTCAGCTACATCCAAGCAGCTTTCGAACAAGGTGGTCAGGGGTGCCAGCGACACTGCTGAGGAGTGTTGAAGCGCATCGATGAAGTCCCGCAACAGCAGGAGTCCCAAGACATAGTGTAGTGCTGTCCAATAAGCAATGTGAAATCTAGGAACCAGCATCTGCACATGCTGTACATGCATAGACACCATCTTCACCAATCGCTCGAAAATTTCGGATTTGACCTCCGGCGACATTGCCGCAGACTTCCAGAGAAGAAGCGAGCCGATGGGGATGGCAACAAGCAAGGCTTCCTGTATCGCATAGTGGCCCGGAGCCAAGTGTGGAAGTCTTCCAGCCTGCATCCATTTGTCAATGAAGTGTTGGAACCTTCTGAATGCAGACAGCAGGTCTTGGGCAGATGCCAGTTGTCGCGCTTCTGGATTATCAAACTGCGCGCGAAGTTCGTGCAGAGCTGCCCTTTCGGGCATCCAGCTGTCTGCTGATAACTGTCCAGCGGCAGGCTGAGCGGATCCTGTACAGAATCTTCGATGTGCATGCCATCCTTGCCGCTGGCATGAGCGTGAGCAGAAGTATACAAGTTTACATCCACTGCACCTGTGCAGATCTTTCACGGCACTGAGACTGCGCACGTTGTCGAGCAATAACTCACCTTCGTGCTCGCGACCGTGCAGCAAAGTTTTGAGAATTAAAGTTTTGCCCCCTCGGACTTCCTGCGTGATTCCCATGGCTCCAGCCAGCTCGCGGTGGCGAAGTATTTGCACTGCATCACCCGGCCGTATATTTGATGCTGCACTGTTGCAAGCCTGACACCTGGGGTTCCATCTCTCCAGCGAAAGCTGCAAGCCTATGTCGGCCAGCATTGGCTTTTCTGCTTCCAGACGGCCTTGGCACTCAGACATGGAACAACTGCGACGCACGTTGGACATTAAACCGTGCAAGTTTCTCCTGTATGGCCACAACAAACCAAAAGAAAACACCGCTCAAATCGAATTGCTCTCCGTCATCGGCTTGCTTTCCGTGTTCAGAAAGACTCAATAGTCTCTTGCAGTTTCGACCTGGTGCATCTCCGTCCGGCTTCATCTCCATCTTCGTATCAAGTTCGGGCCTTTTTGGGCTGCAGAAGTGTCTTCCGTGTTTGCATCGGCTCCCTTCCTGAAGCTCTTCCTCGTTTCGGTCTCAGTCTTCAACTTCATGTTTGTTGTTTGCGGGGAGTTGACTTCGTTTCAGCATTTTTGTCCATGTTCGTACCGGTTGTTCGTGTTTGACTTTGGATTCGGAGGTGATGCATGCTTATCATGCCCAGCTTCATTACCGTGCTCATCTTCTGGTTTGATCTGGGCTGCAGAGTGTATTTCCACGTAGTTACGCCATTTCCGGCTCGATTTCTGTGTATCGGCTGTTTCCATCCTTCTGTTGCGCACAGCGCTTCATTGCCATGTCCGCATCGGTTACCGGCTTGATTTCACTGCTTTTGGCAGCCGCATATCCTGTATTTCCGGCCTATTTCCGGGTTCGCTAGGTGTTCGTGACGATTATTCTCGGCTTCATGTCCGGTTGCATACTTGATGCATTTCCGACTTTCGGGTGTCATTTCTGTCTTCTTTTCGGTGTATGTACCGGGAATTTCCGGTTTCATCTCCATGTTCGCGTCCGCTAGCTTCGGCTTCCTTCTCAACTACAACATTAGTGGATGTTTGCCCACACGTGCTATATAATTTTCCGGCTTAGATTTGACGTGTCTCCACCTTTTCCGAGTCCATTTCCGACTTGATTTTCGTGCTCGCATCGACTATTTCCGCCTTGTTTGTGGCTGCATAACTGATGCATTTCCGCCATTTCCCGCTTCATCCTGTGTCCGCATCAGTTGCTGCACTTCTTTCCGTTTCTGGCTCAAACATTGATGCACTTCCGTCGGTACCGATTTCATTTCGAAATCATTTCCACGTGCCAGTTCCTTCAGGCTGGTTGCTTCGCGCATTCCCGGCTTTTCCGGCGACGTGCTGACATGCCTGTCGTCGTTGGCGTCTATCTGTTTTTTATGGCTTCACGTTGGGCGGCCAGCTGCAAACACGGAAATGAAGTTGGCAACGACAGGAATACATCAGTTCTGCAGCGCCGGAAACGGAGCCGGAAATGGCCGATACGAGCACGGAAATGCCGGAGCTACCCGAGCCGAGCACGGACAGGAAACATATGAAGCCGGAAATGTCGAGAACGCATTAAGGCTTCATTTTGCTTGCGGAATTCATGCATTTCTGCCAGACATTCCCCTTTTCTTTTCCGTGCTCGTATCGGCTCTGTCCTGCTGCATTATCTCGGTTTTCGGATTTGTCCCGTTTGCATTATCGGTACATTTTGCTCGCTGCTGCCCAATTGTCGCATGTCCGGCTTTATTTCCGCTTTGGTCTGTCAATGCCGGCTCTTCGTGTCTCCTTGCAGAATTGAATGAACTGCTTATGTTTTTGCCTGCTCCACTTCAGTTTGTCTTCCGTGCAGCTGACGATTACATCCTGGAAATCCCGCTCCATTTCCGGCTAGACATTCATTTCCAATTCTGTGCTCGGATCGGTTTTTCCGGATCACTTTCGGCTGCACATTGCTCTCGTTTCCATCATTCCCGGCTTCACGAATCCATGCTCCTGTCGTGAATGTGCCCGGCTTCATTTTTGCTTAGGTCTTAATAATTTTCAGCCTCGTGTTCCCTGCAGTTCTGCCGAACCAAGACACAGCGAGAGCAGCCACATCGGCCACCGCAATGCAAACGAATGCGTGCTTCTCTGGCCCGCGGTTCCGCAAAAAGTTCGTGATAGGAGACTCGCAAAGGCTCCCCTGCCTCGCCATGTCCATGCGTTCCTAGAGCTCCTTATCAACTCTGGTCTTGCCTGGATATCCCGTATGGCAATGAGCTTCACCTCGAGGTCGTCATTGATCGGGCGGTCTCCAGTGCTCAGGATGGAAAAGCCTCGGCTGAACTGCTGACGATCCATTCTATGCCGATAATCGTGCGCTTAGATTGACTGGAAGTAGCAAACATTCTCCTCCATGCTGGCCGCACAGGCGTGGTTCAGCATCGAGAAAGCATTGAAGCCTCGGTTGCAGGGGTTTGGGCCTCGCGCAGGGCAGCAAGTCCGGCACCGGAAATCAATGAAGCGATGTGGCTGAACTCTTGGCCGCACAAGCTGGAACCCGATCCGAACATTCTGCACACTTGGAGTCCCGACCCGTCGTAAATGGAATTCAGAAGAGACCCGAAGGCCGGTTCCCCCGAGGGCCAGGGCTGGGTTTTCGGCAGACGCCGAGGTCAAAGATCGGGACAGAGTACACAGTATACGGGTACTGCCAGACACCCTTAAGGCAAGGCCCTGTTTCGAGCTATGTCATTCGGCGTGGCCAGCAAGTTTCATAGAGGAACCATCACGTCCGCATCAATTTCGATGAATTTCGCTTCCTTCCGCCTCATTCGTGCCGCGTCCAAAGCCGTACGAGTCAGCGGCGTGCTGTGAAACAAATCCGGAACATGCTGGTGCCTTATGGTGCCTTCATCGGGCAGGAGACTCTGGGAGGAGGCGATTCTTCAGGCCGCTCGCATACCCCCTGCCCCCACCTCGCACCCATCCATATTTCAATCGATCTGAGATGATCTGAGCATCGTTCGCTCAGAGTCCAGTGCTACAGTGCTGGGAATTGTTCTGCCCCGTTGTATCTGATGCTCCCCATTCCCACCCTCTCGTATGTGCCCTGTGAAGTCAAGGGACAAGCCGCGGCGACCTTCTTGGAACTTAACATGCATGGCCATCATGAGCTCCAAGCGGTGATGCTACGAGTATGACTAATAGAAACCTCTGACAATATTCGGTGTCCCTGGATTTCCGAACATATCTGGGAGCCTGGCCAACGACTTTGCCTCGCAGGCGGCAGACAGGAGCAAGGCATTGCACATCCTATGCCTATGCAGCACTAACGTTCACTTGCTCCTGAAGCATTTCTTGCTCCCTGAATCTGTTCCTGGTGTCCCCAGTCCGGGCTCGGTGCCACAAGCAAAACCTCCAGCAATGGGAGGTCTTAAAAAGGCTTTAGTCGAGACCCTTGTGTAGTGGGTTTGGCAGAAACCAAGCCCGACCCTTGTAGCAGGCAGAACCCCTCAAACGCTGAGCAAGCGCATGAACGTACCGGACATTAAGCTTGCTGTGAGCGCCTTGGAACAAAAAACTGTTCGTCTCAGCTTCCAGAATGAACGGCTGGTCCGCAAGTGCAAGATTGACCTGGTGCGGCGTGCAGCGGATCGTCCGTGCCGGAAGCATACGCAAAATCATGGCACAGCATGGACAGAAGGGATCCCGGCGTTCATGGAACCGAAAATGCTTTGAAGGACTCGAATGCGTGCCAGAGCACGAATTGCTCAATGCTTGCTCAGTTGTGCCGAATCGATTTAATTTCCAAGCATTGGTTGTGAATGTGAATCTCCCACCAGAGCTGGCGCCTCTGCTGCCGCCAAATTGTCAGCACCTGTGAGGATCACACTTTGCTCGTATGCAAGCTTTACGTTCGTCTAGATTCTGAGGCCATGGTGAGAAGGTTCAGCTTGGTTCACATCCAAACAAGGCAAAGTCTGTGCACCTCGTAGATGAGAACACGAGTCAATTGAAACCATGCCCCCCCAGAACACCCGCAACTGGCTAAACACAGAACACGACCGCACGATGCCACGCACAGACGACAGTCCCGATATCTTGATTTTCAAAGATGGTCATCCATCGTCTTGAGCCAATCCACCTGTCATTTTCGAAGGCGATAGACCTGTCTGCAGCCTGCCCCAATTGTACGAGGTATATACAGTATGCAGGATAAGAAGAAACAGTCAACTAACTATGACCTGAAGCGAAAGTTAATGCCGTGCCCTGTAGCTGTATGGGCGTAGAAACGAAACACAATCTCGGAAGCATGTTGAATGTACACAGGACAATGCAAGATCATGCGCGGACTGTAGTGACGTTTCCCGATGTTTTCCTGAGGTACCGAAGTCCGACTAGAATAAGTCTTCCAACAGCGGGCCAGAGACTACCATCACTACCGGCGTAAGGCCTCAACGAGGCTCAGCCATGCTCAGCCGTTCGTTTATCTCCGGATGCAGTGCATGAATTCGCGTCCAATCAATCGTGTTCACTTTTCCAAACCTTTCAATCCCGCAGAAAAGCGGCTGGCAAAAGGTTTGGAGCTAGGAAATACCACATATAACCACGTCCAAACAGATTCTTGAAGATGGCCAATAGAGAACAACTTACGAGCCGGAGTCGCATCGTGGAGATAACTACCCTAAGTGCTCTGCGTAGGCGTTGGCAGTATGGCTGCAAACTGAAAAATGGCAATCATTTTGCACGTGGTCGGTGGTGGGTTCTGCAGTGGTCAGTATGTTTTTGAGGAGTGCTCCGTAACTCCGGAAATCGCTTAGACAATTGATTTCAAGCCGCTGTCGAATGCCTCCCACGAGATGGTTGAGTTGTTGAAAGTGACGGTCGCCCTCGTTAGCAAATCGTAGTCGTGGAACTGTGCTTGATTACAGATCTGTCCTTCAATATTTTAAATGATGATGCCGTCAGGATGTCGTTGTTGTGGAAAAGAACATGCACCCTGGAAAACGTGGAGCTTTGCATGTCGAAGGCTGCTAGTAGTTAATGCGGCCAATCGTTGATCCAGCTTCCAGCGGTTGCTAAGCATTGCTGCATGCATTGGGGAGGTCAGGCTGAGCTATCGACGGAGGCCCTTGTTGCCTTGTGACAACAAGCCTGGAGCCCAGACTGAATTTAAATACTTATACGAATTTCCGACAACCAACTACCCTGATGCTACTGCGAGTATTGGCTAACTACAGGGGAGTGCCTGGCCTCGAAGCAGCGCAAAGTCGTGAGGGTGCTGTCTCATAGCAGCAGACAATTCAGCCACACTTCGCCGCACAATGGGCTTCTCCACCAGCAGAACCTCATCAGGTACAGTACTTTCCACAGAAACATGACATGCTTCCCCCCCAAGCTCATGGTCCAAACACTTGCTCTGCACAATACCCATCAACACCCTCTTCTCACGAGCGGTGTGGGCAGCCTGACAACGACTCTATTCCTCTAGCTTCATGGTTTACTTGAGTTTTTTCTTCGTTTTTTGCGACATGACGTAGCATGGGCTAGATGTTCTTGATTGCTGGCAAGTCGCGGATCCCGCTTTGAAGCATCTCTCTGCTGCCAAGCATCGCCCCTGGAGCAACTCTGCATCTGTGCAATGCGGCAACGACAGGCCGTGCTGTTATTCATTCCAAGAATCTTCATGCTCAGACAGATGCGCCAAGCGAAGGCCAGCAGACTCAATCTCTGGCAGCCCAGCAGGCATTTTCTACGCATCAGGTATGTCCGCAGGATTCATTGGGCATCTGCACAGCTCTGGCTTGAAGACAGAGGTTCTGCAGCCGCGTCCAACGTAGAGTGGGGGCGGGCAACGCGGGATTCGCATGGGGGACTGAGAATCGAAACAAGCTACATGCGCAAGCTATGAGATGCAAGCTTTAAGTTCCACTTCTTCTTGATCTTCATGAGGTCCTGGCTCGAAGCATGCGACAGCCGACGCTCCGCCACTATGTAACACCCAGCACGGCCTGCTTTCTGGCAGATCGAGCGAGCTCAGACTCAAGCGCGTTCAAGTCCTGTCTAGGACCATGTCCACTGGTTGCCGTTGAAGTGGTTGTTGGACTGCGACCGGCGGGCCTTCTCCATACCCTGTGACTTGGAGAGAACAACGCTGTGCAAGCGCAGCTTGTCGATCGACTCCCTGGCCTCACGCATGATGTGTGTGTCTGTGACGAAAGGATAGGATCCGAGTGCTTTGCAGGTTTACAGTGCAATATCAGCAGGGGGCAGAGAAGAGCCATAAAGCTCTGCCCAACGAAGCTTTCTATGGCGACTTCAGGATATTGGGACTGATTATCCCAGCGTACTTGCACAGAAATGGCAGCCAGGCCAAGCCAAAAACCTGGCATGTCGATACTGATGTAAACAATGATTCAGAGTTGATTTACTTGCCATCGTGGCTAAAGATCTTTTGATCTTTACCTTTAGAAGCAGATTCACAATCCAACGCAGGCAAGTCAGAGGGATGATTGCGCGAGTGTGTCTCCAGCCGGCTTTTCGTTCAACATGCCGTCCACGGTAGGAGTGCCTACTGCATTGAACCCTGTATGGTTCGGAACCCTGATCATTTCTTTTTACATTAGCCCTGATCGGCTCCTTGCAGCTGAGCCTTGATCGGTTCACCAGGTGGATGTGTGTGCCCGATACAGCACAACCAAGATCCGGAGCGATTAACTGCTAGGCTGGTTTGCGTAGAACACGCCGTAGAAGGGGATGAACCTGGGCTTCACCGACGGGACACATGCAAAGACAAAAACGATCTGAGGCCTGCGCAGACAGCGTGTCGTCGGAGTGCGAGGACGTGCCTGCATATACGGCCTTCGTCGACGCCTTTCCCACCCCGCCGAAGACTGCTTGGGTGAGGAACGACAGTCTGCCGTGATAGCTCGAAGAGAACTCCATGGACAACGTGCTTGGCCGCCGCTGGCTGCTGATCCGGAACCCGAAGGCCACAAAGAGCTTCTCGAAGGAGACCGTCACGACTCGAAGATCTCGTCGGACTCCAGGCCATTGAAGCCGTCGATGTAGTGCCCTGTCGCGAGCAGCAGCAACAGCAGTCCCCGAAAGAGCTGCTGCAGTGCATCGGCTCCTCTGTTTAAAATTCCAGGCGGGCGCCGTGGCCCCGAAGTTCATCGCGAGATGGCACTAAAGTCACTAAAGGGTCACCCCCACTGCCGGGATGCGTTGAAGAGGTCATGTCCAAACACCTGCAGGTCGCCGTCGTCTTCCGCTGTGAATCGCCGAGCCGAGCCAGGTTGATGAAGGATCCCACGAAATGGCGCGTCGGCACATGCTCCGCCGCCACAATAAAGTTGTGTCCGGCTTTTCTCCAATCTTCGCCTATTTGCTCAGTTGGTGTCTCCATCTTGGCTGCCAGTGCTTCTCCATGACTGTATGTTCCATCGCTGATTTGCGCCAGTGTCTTATCTAGTTCCTGTAAGAAACAACTTTCAGACCGTCGTCAGCCCTCAGTCGGCAACAGGCCTCGTACCGGGCACGAAAAGATTAGTCCTGCAAGGACCTGCTCATGCTGTGTCTAGGCCTTCGGCCAAAACGGGCTTCAGACGTTCAGTGTGAAAGCGAGGGCTATGCGAAACCCTACCGGAGCACTCCACTCCCACGGGGCCAAAAGCCGCTCTTCCAACGAAGTGCAATTTTTTTGAGTCGGCAACCGCTTGATGCTGACATCAGGTGACACAAGAGAAACTAGCAGCGGAAACCACATATGTCCAGGACTCTAGCATCAAGAGAAGATCTGGCAGATTGCGGGATCACCCCGGCAACGTGGAAAATGGAAATCGTGGGGG